CATAACACCACCCTTGTTTACTTTACCTTGGACTTTGGAGTCCAGTTTGACTGTAGTCATCTTCATTTCATTATCAACCGGCTACGTGGCGAGGGTTTTGCAGAAACGGGAAAAGTGAGAAAGCAATGGCAGCGAGATGAAAAGGGGGAATCATGCCTAATTAATTTTAATATAAAAATACAAATACTATTATCATATTTGTTTTGATATTTTAAGATTTTTTTTTGTTTAATTTGATCAAAAAAATTGATTTAATCTAATTTTCAACCTTTTGTGCAAAGGTTATTATAGACCTTTTAAAACTATTGTGATGAACTTATGATAACTTTATATTTTTATTTACGTGAAAAATTTTTTTTTTTTGAACAAGTTGTTAAGGGACGAGTTCGAAACCCACCTATAAAAGAGGAGGAATGCACATCAAACTGGTAGGCTGTCAGTTGACCCAAAAAATCAAGTGCACATGAAATCTAATTTTAAACGTGCAGTTTACTAAATTAAGAATGAAATTTTTACCAACTTATTATAGAAGAAATTTTCTAAAACTATATATAGGGAAGTGTAAATATCTTGGAGGAAAAAAGTTTAATATAAATTAAATATCTTTAATGGATAATTTTTTAATTTCATTTCTTTTATCACTTTTGTATTGTACTTGTATTTTTTTAATTTTTATTATTAAAAAATATGAAATATTAATTAAAATTAGTAAAAATATATTAAAAAAATTAGTTAAAATTAATTAAAATTTTATATTTTTAAATAAGAAGTACTAACAAACAAGTCAAACTTTACTAATATTCATTATGTATTGATTACATTTAAGTCCTGTTATTATTATTTTAATTATTTTAATTACTGAAATTCTCTAAATTTTTAAAAGATAATACCTTATAAATTATTAAATTTACAGTAAAAAAAGTATATTAATTAGCTATTAGTTATTTACTTGTTTAAAAATTAATGCAATTACAGATCATATATCAATACCATCTAGAAGAACACACCATGTAACATCATATATCACTATCACTATCACATTTCAAATTTTATTTTGTTTATTAATATTTAATAAGAACTTTGACCATATAATTGATGCATTTCCCTTACAAATACAATTTAAAAAAAAAAAATTTCATGAACAGTCTTTCAGTAAGAAGAAATATCACAATCAGAATGTCGAACTCAAATGTGTGATGATTAACTTTGTCAGATCTTCAAATCCTTCTAGTGAAGTTTGTACACCAGGGACAGCAGGACAGTTCATTTTACATAACGGATTCACATTCCTATTGATCTGTTTGTCCTCCATAAATCTCCTGTTGTTACCAAAATCACCTTACTAGTTAACCATTTGCAAACATGGAAATTTGGCTTGCCATACTCTTCTCCCTTTGCTTGGCTGCAGTCATTAAAGCCTTATTGCACTTTTATTTCCTCTTCAGGGGTCCACACCGGAATCTTCCTCCGGGCCCTGCCACCTTTCCCAGCGTTGGCAACTTCCTATGGGTCGGCAAATCCTTCCTTAAAATTGAATTGGCCCTCCGAAACCTCCACCAAAAGTTTGGTCCCATGGTAACTCTTCATATTGGTCCTCACCCTGTAATCTTTGTTACTGGTCATTCCCTTATCCACCAGGCTTTAGTACAAATGGAGCTGTTTTTGCTGATCGGCCGGCAGCCTTTGCCACAGACAAGCTTCTCAGCAGCAATCAACAGACCATCAACACTGCTGCTCCTTTTGGACCAACCTGGAGTAGTCTTCGCAGAAATCCTACAGCTGAAATGCTTAGCCCTTCTCGCATCAAGTCTTATTCTCATGGCCGTAACTGGGTTTTGGAAATCTTAAGAGCACATTTGGTACACAAGATTGGATTGAATTAAATAAAATTTATAGGATGTGATATGATTGGATTAAATATAATAAGATATATTTTAATATATGATATATTTGAGTGATTATGAAATAAATGTTGGATTAGATATAAAAATTTACTCATATGAGTGAAAATACCTTTAAATCACGATTAAACCAAAATCATTAATTTTTTATAATATTTTAATTTGTTTTTCAATAGTTGTGGAATAATATTAATAAATTAATTATCATTAATTAATTGAATATAACTACAACAAAATCACAATTAGGTAGTTTTAATTATCATAAAAAATTTCCATCATTTTGTCATAAACCAAATAGACAAGCCAGCAAAGTATTCTAACAAAACCACTTTAGGTGCATCTTCAAGCAAACTAAAATTTGGATGAAAAATATCTTTAAAACCCCCAAAAGAAATTTGTTGTTTGTTTGATAGAAATTTAAAGAAAATTAACAAATAAAAATGATTCCTTTTAAATGAACATTTTGCCAAAAAAATATCAAAGGAAATGAAATCCAGGATGAACAAAACTCATCCATACCCTCACCATCTCCCTTCCTCCCTTGGCCTTCACCTAGGACTCTACCATCGCCCTTCACCTATATCACTAGAATTATAGATTTAAGAAGTCTTGATCTTTTCCATTGAAATCTTATAGGAGATTTGGAGTTCCAAAGTACCATTTCATTGTCCGATATCAACCATGAACCCAGAGACGAAATTGAATCATTTTTTTGGTGAAGGTCTTCGATTCCTAACACTGCTATCATATTGATAGTTGATCTGTTTGTAAAGAATAGAGAAAATCATGGGAGACATAGAAAAGTCACAAGAGGAACAAGAGGGTAAAATATGAAAATGAAATTTTATCCCACTAAATCCCATGAGGGAGGTTGGTTACATTTTATTCAATGACCATAGGATAGGATAAAGGATTGGATATAGGGCATCCCATCTTCTAGTTCTATCAAACATGGGAGACAATAGGATGGGACAAATTTTTTGTCCCATCCCATGGTTTGTCCTGGCTCCCAAACGTGCTTTATAAGTTTTGGTGACAAGCTTGATGAACACCAGATCAAACAGATAGAAGATGCTCAGTGTCACATGCTATTGGGCCAAGTGAAGCTCAATGTGCTTAACTTCTAGCCAATATAAAGATAAATGCTTAAGAATGAAAAATATGATTTTATTCATAGTATTGAATGATCTATATACAAGAAGTCTACAATCACATATGGAAACTAAATATATACAATAATAGAATATATAGAATTAAGTGTGTGATTGATATATTGCATATAATGTTGAATATATATAGTTGCTGTGATTAGTGGAGATTCATGAACTATGATTGACAATAGGATTTGTTTCTATAGCATGCCCCCGCAAGATGAAGCTAACATCAATAACTCTAATCTTGGACTTCAATTGAGAAAACCAGAGATGAGGATAAAGGCTTAGTAAGGCCATCAGCAAGCTGGTCGACAATAGAGATGTGACTCACTTGTAAAATCTTTCAATCCACTAACTCATGAACAAAATGAAGATCAATGGCAATATGTTTCATGCGAGTGTGCATTACAGGATTGTGACTAAGATAAGTGGCACCAACGTTATCACAGTACACAATAGGTGGAAAGGAAATGGGATGACCCAGTTTACAAAGAAGATGGCAAACCCAAACAACCTCAGAGGAAGTAGTAACTAAAGCATGGTACTTAGCCTCTGTCTAATTATGAGCAACCACTTTCTATTTACAAGCTTTCCAAGAGACTAGATTGTTACCCAAGAACACAGTATAGCTTGCAGTAGACTGACGAGTATCCTTGTTGTCAGCTCAGTCAAAATAAAAAAGGGCATGGAGAGGTGACAGGAGCTGTCGTTGCAAGAGTAAACCATGAAAACTAGAACCCTTGAGATAGTGTAAAATATGCTTGGCTGCCTACATATGGACATTCAAAGGAGCATGAAGAAATTGAGAAAGAAAATTAACAATGAAAGCAATGTCCAGTCGTGTAAGATTAAGATATTGCAAGGAGACAACTAAACGCCTACATGGAGAAGGATCCTAGAGTTTGAGTCCTTGGTGCAACTAAAAAGCAACAATAGCCATTGGTGATGAAACTGGTTTAGCTTCAGCCATGCCAATCTTCTCCAATAAATCACAAATATATTGAGCGTGCGAAAGAAAGAGGCATACAGGAGTGAAAATAGCATTAACTTCCAAAAAATAATTAAGGGAACCAAGATCCTTTATAGAAAATGTGTTGCCTATCAATTGGACCAAAGAATCAACTAATTTTGGGTTGTTGTCGGTCACAATGATGTCGTCACTGTAAACTGAAAAATATAAGCAATCAGGGCCTTTAAGATAAATAACAAAAGATGTGTTTAATTTAGAATTCTGGAACCCATGGGAAAGCAAAAAATTTTTCAACTCCTTAAACCATGTGCGAGGAGCCTGTTTGAGTCCATATATAGATTTCCAAAGATGACAAACATGCTTGGGTAAGCTAGCATCAATGAACCCAAGTGGTTGAGTCATAAACAATTCTTCCTCAAGCTGCCCATGGAGAAAGGCATTGTTGACAACTAGCTGTCAAATAGGCCAATTCTGATTAATTGCCAAAGAGGGGACAATCCAAATAGTAATAGGTTTAATAAAAGGGTTGAAAGTATTAAAGTAATTAAAGTCAGGATGTTGATGAAATCCTTTAGCCACAAGACAAGCTTTAAACAGTTTAACCTTGCCTTCTTTGTTATGTTTAACTTGGAATACCCATTTACAACCAATCACATTCCAATGGTCATCAGGTGAAACCCACTCCCAGGAACCCTGTTGAACCAAAACATTAAACCCATCAAACATAGCTTGATGACACTGGGGATGCTTCAAAGCTTGACTAACACAAGTGGGTTTTAAGGGTAGATCGATTAGGTGTTTAGTTGTAGTGAATAAGGTCTTAGGTCTAAAAATATTGTTTTGAGATCTAATAGTCATGCCATGGGTCCAAGTAGGGACAAGAGGAGTGGGTTTGGTGTTAAAGGTGAGGCAATGATTGAGTCGGAATGAGGAGAAATAATGGTGGTGTGGGTAGGCATAGTAGGCGTGTTTGTGGTAGGAGAAAAAGGCAAGATTGAAAGGGATAAGGGAGACACAAAGGTGGGTATAGGCTTAGTGTCTATACAGAGGCTCGCAACCTAATTAGAGGAGGGTGAAAAGGGGTCTAACAGTGTTGGGATGAAGTGGGCCGTCGACAGAATAGATGACAAAGCAAGGTCATGGGTTGAGGGAGATATGGACGAAGAGTTAAGTAAGCATACATTATAAATATCCATGAGGGCCACACTAGGGATTGTTGCTTAAGGGCTAGATCCACGTGATAGTGAAGCATCGACAAGAATGGGTGGGCTAGTTGCAATAGGAGATTTCTTACAAAAAAGGAAGTCATGCTCATAAAAAATGACATGTCTAGAACTAAAAATTTTTCTAGTAGAGCGATCAAAATATTTATACTCAAGATAATCAATAGAATAATGGAGAAAAACACATTTCTAAGAGCAAGGTTGTAGTTTATTAGAGTTGTATGGGCATAGCCATGGATAACAAGTGCAGCCAAAAACTCGAAGCTTAAGGTAATTAGGTTTAACATGAAATAATTTTTCAAAAGGTGAAGTGGTTGTAGGTCCCGAAAGGCAGTTAATGAGATACATAGTAGTCATAAAAGCATAACTCCAAAAATGTGGAGGAAGTGAGGTAGCTTGTAAGAGTGCTAGGCTGATTTCAACTGTATGACGATTCCTACATTCACTAATCCCATTCAATTTTAGTGTATAAGGTGGGGTAGTAAAGTGCGAGATGCTGGTTTTATGGAAGAAATCACGTAAGGCAAGATATTCCTTAGCACCATTAGAACAAAAGGATTTAATTATGGTTCCAAATTGATTTTCAATGAGTATAGAATTTTGGAAAAATTACAGCAACTTCAAATTTTCGTTTAATAGGAAAAAACCAAATATAACGACTAAATAAATTGACAAAAATCTCATAATAAAGGAAACCATCAATAGACATTGAAGGAGCTGTGCCCCAAACATCCAAAAATATTATTTCCAAAGGTTTTTTGCTTGAAATGGAAGATGCTCCAAAAGGCAACTCGTGACTTTTGGTACATAAACACCATTCACATAAAGAAGGCTTAGATTTATTAGAAAGTGGTAGAGCAACAGGGCTTATAATTTTATTTAGAGTTTTTGATGAGGGATGTCCCAATCTTGCATGCCAATCCATGATGGACATTCTTTCACCAATTAGTGTCATTGAACCTAATTTAATTGGACTTTGAATGGGTAGACAATACATGCCATGTTGATTGGGCCCTTGAAGAAGCATCATTCTCATAGTGTGATCTTTCACAAGAAAATAATCAGAATGAAACTTAACCAACACATTATTATTTTGACATAATTTGGAAATAAAATTCAAGTTTCATGAGGAGTGAGGTACACAAAGAACATTTTTTAAGGTTAAAGGCTTAGTTTTGGTTAATAATGTGGTGTTTTGGTTAATAATGTGGTATGACTCACATGTGAAATAGTCAAACCTAATCCATCACCAATGAGTAGTTCATCAGGCCCATCATATTATGAACGAAGTGTTAAGTTTGCCAAGTCAGGAGTAACATGATTGGAGGTTCTAGAATATATCCACCAATCACCCTTTTTGAAAGTGGAAGTTGTCGCAAAGTTGGTAACATGGGCATCATTTTTGAGTTTAAGACAGTTCCTGGCAAAATATCCAAAATTATTACACAATTTACGGGCATTAGTATTGCGACTATTATACCTATGGTGGGAATTTTGATTATTTTTTCTTCCTCAGGCTCCAGAGTTTCTTCCGGCTTTAAATTGGCTGATGCCATAGGGTGAGGAATTTTGCAAGATAGATGCAGAGTAGGGCTTGGAAGTTCGGTTTGAGTATGCCTCGAACCCATTTGAATTGTAAGGATCGCTTACTGAATTTCGGTCACTAAAGCCACCATAGCCGTTGGGATTTCTAGCATTACAAGGGTGCACAGAAGTAAACTGTGTTGTAATTGATGCATTGGTATCACCAACAAGGGCCTCTTCTCTTTTTACGGACTCTTCATTGGGTAATAGTCTATCTTGCAAGTCTTTAAACGGCAGTGGGGGCCGTCACAGGCTTGAGTTAAGGCCTTGAATTCCTTGTATTCATGTCCCAAACCATTAAGAAGATAAACTTGAATTTCAGAGTTGCTTAGGAGTGCCTTTTCTGTATTTCGAATCCAATCAATCAGGATTTTTGCGATGCGAAGATATTCTACGATCGCTCGACCTTCACAATGAAGGCTCTGTAGGCTTTCTTTTAGTAAGTACTAAATACATATGGGTGGATAGATTCTGATACTAAAGTCATAATTGCATGTTGTATTGATGGATCTTGCCTCATCCACAGATCATACAGTGAGTCAGGAATGTTATCCTCTAGAGGACATGGCCTGGTGCCCTGCAAAAAATCAGTTAGTCGATAAACTTGGAGCAGTAAGGTAAATTGTGGACGCCACATGCTGTAATTATCAGAGGTGACTTTGACTGGGAATTGGGCAATGACAAAGGCTATGATGTTGTTTGAACTGGTACTAGTATTAATAACAGCAGGTGTAGTAATCACAGTTTTGCCCGAGCTTGACTTTTGGGTTTTGAAATCTGTGGTTTTGGGTATTTCATCAGCCATGGTTGCTGGTTGTTAGTCTCGTTTGAGATTGTGGCTCTAATACCACTATAAAGACACAGGCTTGAGAATGAAAACGATAATTTTATTCATAGTATTGAATGATCTATCTACACGAAGTCTGCAGCAATCACATAGGGAAACTAAAGATATACAATAATAGAATATATACAATTAAGTGTGTGATTGATATGCTGCATATAATGTTGAATATATATAGTTGCTGTGATTAGTGGAGATTAATGAACTGTGATTGACAACAGGATTTGTTTCCATAACAGCCAAGAATGACAAGGATTTTGTTTTATAAACGTTGGGAGGAGTTCTCGCAAATTGATCGGAATTGAGAAGAAATATTCATCCCTTTGATAAGGGCACGGAAGAGCAAGGCAAAAGAGGATAAAGAGAGAAAAGAGGATGAACATGATGAGAATGTTTTATCATATATTGATATGTTGTTGGATCTACAACTCCCAGACGAGAAGAGAAAGCTTGATGGGCGTGAAATTGTGAGTTTGTGTGCAGAGTTTCTTGATGGTGGCACTGATACCACAGCCACAGCATTGCAGTGAACCAAGGCGAATTTCGTTAAGTGCCTGAATATCCAAGAGAATCCCTATTCATGGAGATCAAAAGGGTTGTGGGAGATAGATAGGAAGAAGTGGTAGGAGAAGATGAACTGCATAAGATGCCTTATTTAAAAGCGGTGATTTTAGAAGGACTAAGACGCCACCCTCTGGACACTTTGTGCTACCACACAGAGTGACAGAAGATGTGGTTCTAAATGGCTTTTTGGTGCCCAGAAATGGGACAGTAAATTTCCTGATAGCATAGATGGGATGGAACCCGAAAGTCTGGGAAGATCCAATAGCTTTCAAGCCTGAAAGGTTTCTGAATGGTAGTCAGGAATTGTTGCATATTACTGGCAGCAAGGAGATCAAGATGATGCCATTTGGAGCAAGGAGAAGGTTCTGTCCTGGCTATTCTCTGGCCATGCTTCATTTGGAATACTTTGTTGTCAATTTGGTCTGGTGTTTTGAATGGAAGGCTGTTCAAGAGGATGATATCGATTTGTCAGAGAAGGAAGAGTTCACAGTTAAAATGAAGTTTCCACTGCAGGCTCGTATATATCCGAGGACTAAGCAAAGCTATTACAGTTGTTATAAAGTTTCCATTGCAGACTGCAGCTATGTATAATAAGGTTGTTATTTGAAATGATTTTCTTTTCGTGGATTCCAGAGAAACCATGCATAAATTAATTTACATCAAATTGTATTGGAAGTCCATCAAGAAGAACAGTGTTTTTTCATAGTTTTTCTTATCAATGTTTGTAATATTTTTACATTTTTTTCCTCTATATACTAGAACAAATGATTCAAGCCTGTAAAGAAAAGGGAAGGGAAAAGAGAGGGGGAGGGAAAGGGAAAATACAGGTTCAAACTTCAAACTCACTCTTGAAAACTTTTTATACTAATAATAAAGTCACTTTTAACTACTAACGTTTTATACTTCCAAATTAAGTAGTAATGCAGGAATTCTTCAACGTGCCTTTAACATGAAATTGAAGACCCCTTCTGTCTCTGAATTTTCTACATTTTAAGTAAGCAACTAAGACCCCTTTTCTCTTCTGAATTTTCGTTTGAAGTCTGAACAAATAGCTTTTGGGCTGGTGGGCTTGGTTTTATAAAAAATGACTTTATGAAAATTCTAATTAGTGTTCATTATTGCAGTCAAAGGAAAATCTTGTAACCATTGTAATGGAATTGAAAATTCTCTAGTAATCCTCAGCACATTATGACCTGTATTATTATTATTATTATTTTATTATTGGAGATTTTGATCAATATCTTGTACATTTCTGTCAACATCTAATTTTAAATAGTCCTCCTTCAAAGAATCTATATACTTGGAAAGAAAAGTATAACGCTAGATGTCATACTTGGGAAAATATTATAGTTGAAAAGCAATTAAGGATACTATTCTATTAATTATTCTAATATTGGGTTGAAAAATGTACACGATCATTGTCAAGAAACCACAAGTATAGCAACAAAGATCTTCCATAAACGAAAGATCTCCAGTAAACCAAAGAGATTTATGTGTTTCAATATAGATTACACATTAAATATATAATTTTAATATTGCACTTACGGCCTTAGCCACGATGGAAGTGCAACTTCTCCCTTGGTTTTTTTGGTCAAAGATTCAAGCTGTCACTGCAGTAATATTATAACTATTCCTCCATCCCCCAATTTTTCAATAGTCAAAAAAATATATATATATATAATTTTAATATTAAAATTATTAAGTTATTTTGAATAAATAAACATAACAAATACATTATTAAAGATGTTTTAATAATTTTAGTAATAAAACAACAGTAAAATCCAACATGAAAAACATGTTTTTCTTAATCCAAATACTATAACGCGCCGTAAATTACATGTACAAAAAATTAAAGTCTTATCATTTCCTTGGAGAAATGTGGGCCTGCAATGGATATTTCATCACAATTGTGAATTCCTGCTTCTCTTCCAAGTTAACCTCATCTCCTTCCACAGCCTTCCATTCAAACTTCCAGACCAAATTTGCCACAAAATACTCCAAGTGAAGCATAGCTAATCCAAGCCCCGGGCAAATTCTCCTCCCTGCTCCAAATGGCATCATCTTGACTTCCCTACTTCCAGTTATGTCAAACACTTCCGGACCACCTCTGTCATCACTGCTCAGGAACCTCTCTGGCTTGAATGCCATTGGATCCTCCCACACTTTTGGATCCCACCCCAGTTCAGCTACCATGAAATTGATGCTACCCTCCTTGGGCACCAAATACCCACCAAGAACTGTATCCTCTGTCACCCTGTGAGGCAACACAAAGTGACCTGGTGGGTGCCGTCTTAACCCTTCTAAGAGCACAGCCTTCAAGTAAGGCATCTTTTGCAAATCATCTTCTTCGACCTCATCTGCTCCTTCTCTCACAACCCCTTCAATCTCCTTGAATAGCTTTTCTTGAATGTGTGGGTATTTTACCAAATTTGCCATAATCCATTGCAAGACGGTGGAGGTAGTATCCGTGCCGGCGTTGAGGAATTCCGAGCATAAAGTAACCATTTCCCCTTCACTAAGCTTCCTCTTCTCTTCCGGTAGCTGAAGATCCAACAACGTATCAACATAAGCCAACACAGACTCGTCCTCTTGTTTGATATCCTCCATATTTTTCCTGAGTCTTTCTTCTCTGGTTTGCTTTCGCAAACGTATCAGAGGAATCAATACTTCTTCTTGATTTTTTCGAATATTAAGGAATTCCTTCCACTTCTTTCGAAACAAAATCCTCGTTATCCTGGGCCAAAAATTCAGAACATTGAATCTTCCAAAAGACAAGAGTGAAGAACGCTGAACATCCTCAATCTGTTTGATCTGCTCTTGGTTAAGCTTGTCGCCGAAGCACATCAGTACCAATAAGCAAAACATAGCATACTGGAAATGAACCAGTACCCGAATTGGTGCTCTGGATTTGGACTCTGACCCTAAAGAATCCACAAGAATCTGTAATACCCATTTGCGGGCGTGGGAGTAGGACTTTATGCGCGAAGGGTGAAGGATTTCGGCAGTCAGATTCCGTCGCAGAAGTCGCCAGGTAGGACCGTAGGCGGCAGAACTGATGTTGTGCTGATTGCTACTCATAATCTTACCGGTTGGGACAGGTTTAGGTCTGTCGGAGAAAACAGCACCGTTCTGGACCAAGGCCTGGTAGGCGAGGGAGCGGTCGGCGACGAAGATGGCAGGGCGAGAACCGAACTTGACGGTGACCATTGGGCCGAACTTCGCGTGGAGTTTGCGGAGAATCAGTTCCATCTCGGAGGTGGATGTGAGTTTGCGGAGCCATAGGAAGGGACCGATGATGGGGATGGTGGAGGGACCTGGAGGGAGAGAGTGGGCGGAGGAGGATTTGGTCGGAAAGAGGAGGTTGAGGAACGCTCTAAGGAGAAGAGCAACGGAGACGGTGACGAGGATGATGAACCAGACTTCCATCCTTCCGGGAGATTGGGATAAGAATTAGGTGGAGGATGATGCGGGATTTAAAGGAAAGGGAAAGGTAAAAGTAAAATCCGAAAGGAAAATAATGGAGGTGCAAACTATTATTATTATTTTTTTATAACTCTGTTATTTTAATGTTTGATTTTTATTTATTTATTTTTAAAAAATGGTTTAAAAATAATTTTTTATATAATTTTATATAT